TGCTTCATTACAGCTTTCTTTGCATAATCATAAGTTATATTCTGCATTCTACATGCAATTTGCATTTTGCCCTTGCTTGTGAGCGCATCTTTTTGTTATGTTGCCTGTTTGTCTAAGTCTTCGGCCTTGTCAAAAATGGGTCTTCTCTAGGTTTTGACATTCATTTCCGTCATTTCATGACTTCTGAGTTCTGTCAAAGAGGGGCAACTGTAGACACCCCATTTTTGACCGACCTTAAGACTCAGACGTTATCGTCTGTACACTCGATGATTACACATGTTTGTGCTAGTTTTGAGTGCTCGAAGGTCTCAACCGAGCGCCTTGTCTTTGAGCCTCTAAACCCTCTGTGTTTTGGCCTTGTTTTTAGGCCAAACCTTGGTACCTCTTGGCTAAAGGAGAGTGGGGCCCTACCGACCACTTTTGGCATTTGCCAGCCAATTTTTCTCCTTGCCAACTAGTTGGAGTGGTCGGTCAGCTAGTTGAAGTGGCCGGTCGGCCACTTGAACTGGCTGGTAGCCAATTTTCTCTTTTTTATGATATTTTCAGATCTTTTGAGCCAGCTGTTGGGCATTAAAACTATCCTCCATACATGTATGAAGGGATGGAGACAAGCTTTAAGCTTGTCAAGCAAGCTTTTGCTTGCATTGCCTATATAAGGGGAGGTTAATGAAGAAAAAGGCTCCGAAAACAACTTTTGTTCGGTTCAAAACGAAGAGAATCGAAAGTTTTTTGTGAATCAACTTCACGGGCAGTGTTGGAAAACGCGTGAAAGCCCGGATCTAAGAGGAAAATGGGTCTAGAAAAGAAGAAGAGTTTATTTCGGCAATAGGTGTGTGAGGAAAAGGGTTTTGGAGTTGGGTTTTTAAAGATCTCCATGTGAAAAGCCCAAACTGCCTTGACTTTCCCTAACTAGCCGACCGGCTAGTTTTTCTGGCCGACCGGCCACTTAACTAGTTGGCAGCTTTGTCAAGTGGCTGGTAGCTTTAGGAAGTGGCTGGCAAGCTTCCAGGGTGTTCGGCAGCTGCCTGGTATTCCCCTTGTGTGTTTTCAGACTGTTGTGAGTCCTTGGTCCCGAGAAAGTGCAAAAAGAGCCCACTTTTCAGCTCAAAATGTTTCTGCGGAAATTTCAACTCATGTCTTCGATGCGTAGCTTCTGTATCCAAGAGTTCGATTGTGATCTTCATCAAAGTTAAAAAGGAACTTGTCTTCTTTGCTGGAAAGATTACAGACCCCAAAAAAATGTGTTGAGAAGAATGTTTTAGAAATAAAGGTTTCAATTTTGTGGGTCACGTACAATTGAATTTAATCTGTGCATTTAAGTGTTTCACCATTTTATTAGTGTATTAGAGCAACTAGATACCAAAAACAGAGCAACACTGGAATAAGTGTGATAGGATCTCCAAAACCTCCAACTTGTTCATGGGATTCTCTTTCTTAAGTTCATTAACGTCTCAAGATTTTTGATAGTGTTTGGATTCTCTAACATTAGCTGGTCAAGTTGAGAGGATAGTTTGGGATTTACATTCCATTTGGATTGTGAGAGGTGAGAAAAGAATGATTGTGGTTTCTCTAAGCAAAGGGTTCCGTCTCATGGCCCTTCTTGTCTCTTTCGAACCCAATTGTGTGTGGTTCAGCTTGTATTTTCGGTCGAGATAATACAGTTGGAATGATATACACGGGACAACTTAGTAGTATTAAAAATCGCTAAAATAGGCAGCGCGTTATGAAGCTGGCGTTGCACTAATTACCCATTAGTCAACATGTCACTCCGCTCGCACTTTCCACGCCCCTTCTCTCTCCTCACTTACGCCCTCCACGATATGTATATATATTGCACCTTCACTTCACTTCACTTCACTTCACTTCTTTCTCACTCATCAATCTCTCACCCTTACAAAAAAACAGTCGCAACTCATTCCAATCCTCCATAGCTGTGGTCTTGAATTGAATCTTCCAATTCAATGGCAATTAATTGTATTTCCATCAATATGTTTCTACATATCTTCCTATTAGTCTCAATGCTTATTTTCTCTTCCGGAGCGAGGCTACTCACTGAGTCCTCATCACAAACCCAACAGCCCATTCTCTTCGAATACCACAATGGTCCTCTCCTCACTGGCAAAATCTCAATCAATCTCATTTGGTACGGCAATTTCAAGCCCTCCCAACGTGCCATAGTCTCTGATTTCGTTACCTCACTCTCGTCTAACCCATCCAACAACCAACCCTCCGTTGCCACCTGGTGGAAGACCACCGATAAATATTACCAGATTCCCAACTCCAAGAATAAAGCACCCTTTCCTCTCAATCTCTGCGGGTAAGCAAATTCTTGACGAGAATTACTCGCTAGGAAAATCGCTCACACAAAAACAGATTGTAGAATTGGCATCAAAGGGTGATCAAATGAATGCTGTCAATGTTGTCTTGACCGCCTCTGATGTCACGGTTGATGGGTTTTGTTCCAGTAGGTGCGGCACACACGGATCTTCCAAAGCTACCCAAGTTAAGGGCAAGAATTACAAGTTTGCCTATATTTGGGTTGGCAACTCGGAGACTCAATGCCCCGGTCAATGCGCCTGGCCATTCCACCAACCCATCTACGGACCACAGAGCCCACCCCTGGTTGCACCCAACAACGACGTGGGTCTGGACGGTATGGTCACTGTAGGAGAGGGTTCAAGAAAGGAGTTGGAAAATTCGAAGATCTTCGAAGATCCTTGAAGAACAACTTCGAATTCTCTAGAAGAAATGTGAGAGGCTTAGATTCTTCAATGGTCTCAACTCAAGAACACAAAAGTAAAGGAGATGATGGAGATAAGAGATTGGGTGAAGAAGAAGGCAAAATGGCTAGAGAGAGAATAATGGCAAGGCTCTCCCATGGATCTCCCACTTGTACTCTCAAGGTTGATAACGGAGAAGGGAAATTAGTTCTTTCCCAAGAATTGAAAAATGTCCAAAATCCATCCCTTGTAAAGCTATGGGTGGGTGCTATTTATAGGCACCTCATGATGTAGGATGGAGCCCATGTGCAAGGCACATGGGGAATATTCTCTCTAACCACCTTGTCCGAGGAGGTGACCTCTCCGAGGATGTGACCTCTCCGAGGATGAGGAAAACCCCGAAGAGGAGATCAACCTCTCGGAGAACCCTTCTTCTTAGCCACACCTAACCAATGATCCCCAATCATCCCAAAGGGTCAGGGGTAGTCCCAGAGGACGTCCTGCCTGTTTCCTCGTTGTTTCCTCGTGCAACTTCTGTATCTAAATCTAATGAATTCCAATTAATTTGACTGTCATGCAGGCCCCTTACTACTGTCAGCAGCCTGAGTTTTGATTACTTGCAAAACCATTGATTGACAATTTAGATGGGAAATCTCTGTATAACAGAATTGAATACAGCCTAGCCAGTACTTTCTCCATAGCTGAAAAGGTTTTCTTTCTCCCTTTTTTTTCCCCATCCTATTTGTAGGAAGAAAGAAGAGGTTGTGGCGACAAAACAAAAAATGACACCAAACCATCACCATATGCATTCTTTAAATAACTTATTAGTTTAAAGGGGTAATATGGTCATTTTGAGCCTGAGTAAGTCTCTAGGTTCGTGGATCCGAACCCTTTCGAGGCTTAGAGCCATTTAGCCCGTTTGATGGCGATAAATCTGGGCCCGCCAGTCTTGGACTTGCGATAAATTTGGGCCTATCAACCTTGGAATATTGGGCCAAATTAATTTAGTGGGCTTAAACTTAACTCCTCTTACATTTGCCCCTTGCTTGTATGAGAAATTTTAAATTTCTCAGACATGCATACTGTCATTTCTTCGACCCTGCTTCGCATCACGTTCCCTAAAAAAAAAAAAAAACATGTTGTCACGGCAGAGCCTATGGATAAAGTTGATGACGCACTTCAATTTACAGAAAAAATTGACAAGCAAAAATTTTATTTTATTTTATTTTATTGTTTTAAATTTTTTTTTAATGCATATATAAATTTTTATTCTAACCAAAGAATAATAAAGCATTTTTTTATACAAGGCTCACAGACGTTTTTCTTTGTTGTTTGGCAAACACGGCAGACCAATTACACATATACACATATTCAGAATATTCTTAAGGTATATTCAAAGGATAATGCTCCTTTTTTCTATTTAAGGAAAGGGTCCAAAACCCTAAACCTTACAAACTTTGCACAGCCGCCACACTATTTCTCAGCCTGCTCTCTCTCTACAGAGACCAACCCAGCGTTTTTCTTCTCCTTCAAGCAGCTTTCCTTCTCCTTCTTCAAGCAGCTCTGCTTCGGGTTTGCTCACTGCCGACTGCTGCAATTCCAGACACGCCGACACCATCCCAACTCTGACTGCCGCAGGTGTCGCGGCCCAGCCACCACCTTGTTCCAGCTCCGACGACCAGCACCGACGCCAACCTCTCTGCACAGTCACAACTCTGCGACGTCTCCAGCAACATCACTGCAACTTTCGGCCTCGGCTACCCAGCACCGACCACCGTTAGCTCCTCTCTGCCCCGACTTTGCCTTCTGCCCCGGTTGTTCAGCGCCACCCACACACGTCGCCCACTCAACGCGTCGTGTGTGGTTTGCACCGTAGCTCTAGGCACCGCCGGCAACGCGACCCGAGCTGTCGTTACTGCACACCAACACCGGTACAACTCGCAATTGATTCCCGTGGCCTACTAGTTTTCTTTCTTATCTCTAATTTTGGCTAGCATTTCAAATACATATATATATTGATTATGATATATATATACATATATATTTTTTTTTAGAGCTCAGATTTCCCAGATCTTAGTTCCGCTTGCACGCAACTGCGTTGCCGTGGCCCCAACTTCCGTCGGCCTCTCGCTGCTGGAACTCTACCACTGGCTTCAATTGTTCCAACGCAGACCACACACGTTGCCCACTCAACGTGACGTGTGTGGTTGCCGACTCTTCTGTAGCTCCACATCGCTGCTTCTAGCTTCAGCTTATCCGACGTCGACCACGCACGTTCGCCCTCTCAACGCAACGTGTGTGGTCTTGCCCAACCTAGCTCCACATCGCTGCTTCCAGCTTCAGTTTATCCGACGTCGACCACGCACGTTCGCCCTCTCAACGCAACGTGTGTGGTCTTGCCCAACCTAGCTCAGTCTTGTTGCTCAACGTCGACGCCAACTCCGCTACGTTTTCCACACTACCTTCGGCTTCAACTGTAACTAGTTATTGACCACGCCGCCCACTCAACGCGGCGTCGGTCTAACTATATTCTTTCTTGCCCACTGCCGGTGCTGTTATTGATTTACTCCGACTATCTTCGGTACTGGTTCCACCCATTCGTGGCCTATTTTTTGCTTCCCACATTGCCTCTAACTCAGCCGTGTTCTTCCGCTGTTGGCATAAATCTGTGAGTAACCTCTTTTAATTGTTTTTGTTTATTTATTTATATATACATATTTTTGTGTGGTGGCAGCTCTTGCATAAAAGAAATAAATGAAAGAATCCATTTTCCTTCTTATTGATGGATCTTTGTGCTCAAAAAAATAAATATATAAATCCATGCACTGCTATATTAAGTAAAATGAATCCATGCTCTGATCCATGCTCTGATACATCCATGCTCTGATAGATAAAATAAAAATAAAATTGGTGATTTGAAATTCCAATATGAAGCTTGAATTTGTTTGGGCTTTGCAATTTTTGAAATAGGCTGTGGGATTTATTTAAACGATTTTTCTGACTTGAAATTTGCCAAAGAAATTCTGGGCTATTGCATAACTTGAACCATTGCTGCTGAATTTTGCCGTCGTAATAGAATATCTGCCACTTGAATTGAGCAAATAATATTGACTTGGGAAGAACATTCTTGTAGCTTGCACGTCAATCCATCAAATCTTGCTACTGATAAGCAATGTAATATACTTCGGATCTCGGGCCTGAAATTTACTATTGAACTTCACTCTGTCCAAATTTTGAGCCCCGTATAAATTGGACCTTTAATATGGAACATAGTGACTTTAAGAAATTGACCCGATTGAACTTCATCATGAAGCGGCCTATGACATTGCACCTCTTATTGATGATAGAAGACAAAAATCTATATGTTGATGATGCACCCATTGGTATTAAAATTTGTTGATGACGTCCGAAGTTGAATTTGTTGATAAACCCATCATGTTGCATGTAACAATATTCTGAATTTTAATACGGTCAACTCTTTAATATTTATACAGGTTATTTCAGCCATATGTCTTCTCGAAAGAAACCCGTTGTCCCGGGGTCATCGGAACCGGCTCTCATGAAAGAGAGGGACGTACCTCCGGCATCTGAGTGGAGGAAATCTCCTTATTTTGGTCGGAAGGACCCCTTCTGGCGAGCGGCTACCTCCACCACTTCTCTTCTATCTCCGAAGAGGGCTCCATTATGTCTCACTGAGGATACTGACTCTGGACATGAGGCCCTCATTTCTCCTTCCTCGGTGCTACGCTTTCGGATTGAGCGGGGGGACTTTCCATACTGTTATCCTCAGTTTAAGGCCTTCTCAAATCCTCCTTTTGGTTGGCAGGAGTGGGTCGATGATGTCCTCTCGGACAAGAGCTTCTGTCAGCGGCTTCAAGAGGCTCGACTATTGATCCCAGTGAAAATATCTCGATCCCTATCCATCCGTCGCAACAATGCTAGCCTGGAAGCCATGGCTCTTCGGTAGAGCACCGAGACACACACCTTTATACTTGGCCAGCATGAGATGGGGCCTACCCTTGAGGATGTGTTCATATTGCTGCGTCTGGAAGTGACCGGCCCTGATGCCTTCGACCCTGAGCAGACACCCCCCGAAGATGATTCTTTGATCCAATCTCTGAAGCTAAATCTTCAAACTTGTGGTCGGTGGAGTTCTGTTTTTGATGGTTCAGCGAGGAGGACTAGTCGAGTAAGGACGGACCGTGCCTCCTATACTGCATGGATCCGTCACTTCTTCAAGGATCTTCAGCCCTTGGCCAGAGATGCTGACCCTGACTCTCGGGAGTATGAGGCCGGTCCGATGTATGGCTCCAGGCTCTATTTCTTGGGATTTCTGGCTTGCTTCCTTTCATTCTTTATTCTTCCGAGCACACCTCCGGATTCCCTCAATCCTTTCGTCTTCCCCTTGGCAGTCAGGCTCTTTAGAGGAGATCGGATCCCTTTGGCTCCCCTATTTCTTGGGAATCTCTACTATCGGCTGGATTTACTACATCGAGATATGGTTCGCTCCGTGGGTCGATATGAGCCTGTCTCCTTTATTCACAGCCAGTTCCTGCTTTGTTTCTTCTTCGAGAGGTTCCCAAAATTTGCCCCTGCTCCGACTGTATTCGAGGCGGAGGCTCTTCGGGAGATAGTGGATGAAGATGGCATCCCCGTGCTCGATACTGATGGGTCTCGGACATTTGAGAAAGCGAAGTCTTGCCAGCCGTTGATTACACGTTGGTCACGTACCATTTCCACCTTATCCTTGAATACTCTGGTGGATAATCCCCGACGCTTTGTGGCACGGCCGTATGTATGCCCACCTGTGGATGTGGCCACACTGCTTATCTATCATGGTTCCTCCCGCTCGGTGTCCTTTCCTTTGCCGAAGAACATCCCTGCACCCTTTGTTGATATGCTGATTATGATCCGTCCGAGTTCATTACCGGTATGGCATGAGGAAGGCGTTGATACTGCCGTTTATAGGCCTGACCGTGTAGCATGCCAATTCGGGTTTGATTAATGTGCCCCGGGGCCAGCACCTCATTTATTATCATTTTCAGAGAGCTACGGGCGCTTCAGTCGCGGGCTTGTACATACCGTGCTTCCCATATCCGGCTCTTTGACGATGCCAGGCTTGAGCCGAGTAGGGGGTTTCACCCCCTCTTTCAGGCAGTATTGGCAGAAGAATATCGATGCGTTTATTGCATTTGTCCAGAGCAGACCGACCGTATGTTTGCCTCCGCCGATTTATAAGAAGGATTCTTCTCTTCGGTTACCCGAAAGCCGAAAATCTGATCACATGTACGAGGGTTTCTTTACTTCATCTGCTCCAACTGACCCTTCTGCTCGGGCATCTACTTCTAGCTTGGCAATTACTTCTCCAGAGCCAGTCCCTTTGAATAAGGCCTCTGGTCCTCGGACGACCCGCCTTAAGAAGATGGCTCACAAGAGGACTTCTGATGCCAGTCCTTCCGCTCCTCGCCTTTCCAAAAGGCTTCACGAGGTACCCGAAATTTTTTTATTTGCCCATGTTGTGTAGGATCCTGCGGTTGTTGACGTTCTCGGTACCGTGGCTCCTGGCCATGCTGCCTCCCCCAGGCTGGACTCAGACTTGGACGACACCCTCCCTTTGTCTGCAAGACTTGTGAAGATGTGCACCCCTCGTATAGCAGTTATAGATGACGATGATGATGAGGCTGAGTCCTCCGATCATTTTTGTGACCTTATTCCACGCACGCGTCGTCACCGCCCTACCGTAGCTGAGGAGGAGCACTACCTTGGTGACGGGTTTATTGGGACTCACCGTTCTGATGTTGAGATTGCTGGAGGGACTGATGCCACAGAAATTGATGCCGCGGGCCATACTTTTAGAAGCAATGTAGAGACGAGGTGCGCCTCTGGGAATGGTGTGGAGGTGGATGTGCTAGAAATCTCTGAGACTCGCTCTGGCACTTATGGTGATTCTCATCCTCCGGCCCTCCTTCCTTCTTCAGGGATGACTGCTACTGTTCAGGCTTCATCAGACATTGAGATCGATCAGGTGGTCTCTACACGACCAAGTGACTTTGTTGATGCTAGGAGTCCTTCAGTTGCTCCGGCTTTGCATATTGATTCTCCCTCTGGTAATCTTTCTTTTTGAAGTTTGTCATTTACTTCTATCTGTGAGAAATCTTTATTCAAATGGCTTTCCTGTTCCCTACCTCTAATAAGGCTTCCTTATCTTTTCTTCAGTGTTAGCTGCTACCGGGGTCCTGCCTTCACTTGCCTTAAACTCTGCTCCAGTGTTAGCTGCTACCGGGGTCCTGCCTTCACCTGCCTCAGACTCTGCTCTAGTGTTAGCTGCTACCGGGGTCCTGCATTCACCTGCCTCGGACTCTACTCCGACTCTCTTTGTAACTCCTCACGGTTCTCCTTCTCAAGGGGGAACACCTGCCTTTGAGACGACTGCCAGAGGTTCTTCATCGCCAGTGCTTTCGAATATTTTGGATCTGAATCTTAGTGATTTCCACATTGATAGTGATGCTTTTGGTCTTTCCCCTTATCGTTCGGCATTCTCAGGCTCGGGACCTCTGCCGGGAGTTACCCCTCCGGGTGGTTTTTCTAACCCGATAGACATTGGGGAGATTCCTGAGACTAGCAGCTTTCCGGCCCCAATTCCTCCTTCAGCTTCTGGCAAAGTATCATTTCTCCATTATTGCGTAGCTTCTGAGTTTGCTTCAGTTCTACAGCTTGTGCATTCAAGTTACCCGGAGACCTTTGCTTCATTTGCTTGCCAGTGTCCATTCATTCAAACTGCTCTTCTCGAGTCTTTTGCCACTATCTTATATAGCTTGGACAGGCAACGGTTATGTGACCTTAATGGGAAAGTAGTCGAGACGGCGTATCAGGGGATCGCTGACATGGAGCGTCACCAAGTGGACTTATCATGGCTTCGGAGGCGCTTGGATATAGCTTCGAACGCCAGTCATCGGCTGGAACTTATGTCTGTGCTTGCCTCTTATCGCACCTCTATAGATGAGACAAAGGCAACTCTTCGTGAACTTGAGTTGGGTTATGCTCGGGCCTTGGAGACTTTAGAGGCACACTCTACTGTTTGTCCTCCAGATGTAGATGTGACAGGCAGCTTCTTCGAGGGTGTCTTTAGGAAAGATTGATTTTTTTTTTATTATTATTTTTTTTTTTTTGTTATTACTTTCTTGCCCCTTTCGATAAAAATGTTTTATCTAGGACAATGCGATGAAATGATAGAATTTTTGCTGTTTGGATATCGTTTTCTCATTCTACTTGATAAAATATTTATTTCGAATGATACAATGGAAAGAACAATCATATGCACATGTTTATAAAAGCTGAAATATTCTTATTAGTTCTTCAACTTTCTTGACAAAAGCATAATAGATTCACTGCAAGTGATGGGATAAAACATACACCATAGAGAGAACCAGCTTCTTCATAACGTAAGGGAAATACAACTTTTAGACAAAGTAAGAAAGTGAAAATGAATTTCAACATAGATGAGTCCAACTATGGGTAGTAATGCTTGATAAACTTTGCATTGAGCGGGCCAGTTCGGAAGCCGTCTTCAACCCTTACAAGTTTGTAGTACCCGCTTGAGCTTGCCTGAACCACCTTGTAGGGCCCTTCCCATTTTGGAGAAAACTTGGGTAAAGGCTGTCCTCGCATGATTGGGTCTACAATCTTCCATACTAGATCACCTTCTTCAAACTTACTTGGTATCACAGTCTGGTTATAGGCTCGGGCGATGGACTCATGATACCTTTCCATGACTTTTACAGCTCTGTCATGCTTTTCCTCTAATGCTTCCAATCTGGCGGTTCGAGGCTCCAGTACCATCCCCGAGGCGAGAGCCATTCGAGCAGATGGTGTTTCTAACTCTATAGGTAGCACTGCCTCGGACCCATACACAAGGGAGTAAGGAGTTGCTTGAGTCGGCTTTCTCTTTGAAGTGCGATACGCCCATAGGGCTATTATCAACTGTTCGAACCAAGTCCCCCCAAATTCATCCATCATCTTGCTTAGAATCCTTACCAGTGTCTTGTTTGTGGCCTCCGCTTGCCCGTTCCCTTTTGGATAGTATGGTGTGGATTTGTGATGCTTCACTTGGTAAGTCTCTAGGAGGCTCTTCACATATTTGTTTATAAAGGGAGTGTCGTTATCCGAGAGGATGGTGTTTGGTACTCCAAACTGACAAATGATATTCTCCTTGATGAAGTTCGCGACTGCAGGCCCCGTAGCGTTCTTCAGAGGAATTGCTTCGACCCACTTTGTACTCAATTCTGTGGCTGCAAGAATCCACTTGTACCCCTTAGAAGGTGTGGAGATGGGCCCTATCAGATCAAAAGCCCAGGTATGGAACGGCCATGGCGTTCGGATGCTATGCAGGTCTACGGCTTGAGCATGGATCAAATTTTCGTGTTTCTGACAAGTCTGGCACCTCTTCACGTGATGGGATGCATCTGACTCCATGGTCGGCCAGTAATACCCAAGGTATATAAGCTGCTCGAACAGCCGAGCCCCTCCTTGATGTTCAATCTCGTGAGCTCTTTTGAGGACTAGATCTGACTCCTCCTTGGAGAGACACCTCAGGGGAGTGCCCTCAATACTTCTTCTGTAAAGCTTGTCCTGATCAAGAAAGTACCGCCTTGCTCTCCTCTTGAGGTATGCAATGTCCCTCGGGCTCTCAGGTAGTGTTCCCTCTTTGAGATAGTCAATGTAGACTTGCCTCCAGTCAGGGGTATCAATTTCAAAGCAACTCTCATTCTCTCGGATGTATGATTGACACTTGGCGCATTCCTTCTGTAATTGATTCGAGTCCTTCTCTATCTCGGGCCAATAATAACCTTGTCTTTGGATTCTTCTGTACAGACTGATATCCCCATCCCCGCAAGACTTTTCATGGATCTGTTGTAGTCGGAAGCTCGCTTCTTGTTGGCCAACACACCGGGCTAGGAATCCGGTACCTCCTCGGAAGTAAAGTTCACCTTGAATAATTGTGAATTGGGCAAGCTTGGCCATAGTCAGTTTTCCAACTTTGTTTCTGAGTTGTTCAAGGACTTCTCCTCTCCAGTTCTCCGGAAGGTCTTTGTCTTTGGGTATTATTGAAGGTTCTGTTCTCTTCTTGATAACAATTGTTGCCTCTTTCTCTGGAATGTCAACTCTTGCCCCTAATGTTGCGAGGGCATCTGAAAACTTGTTGTCGGAGCGAGGCACATGCTCTATTTCGACCTTCTGAAATTTGTCAAGAAGCCTTTGGACTGTTGTTCGATATGTGGCCAAGGCAGGCTCCTTTAAGACGAACTGTCCTGAAACTTGCTTCACTATCAGCTTTGAGTCCTCCCGAATCCGAATCTTCTTGATACTGTGCTTCTTAGCTGCTATCAAGCCTAAAATAAGAGCCTCATACTCGGCTTCGTTATTCGAACAACGAAAATCCAGTTTATAAGACAAATATAACTTTTCCCCACTTTTGCTTGTAAGGACTATCCCGGTTCCTCCTTTACCTCCTGCTGCTGCTCCGTCAAAGCTCAATGTCCAGAAGCTTTCCTCGGAAGCCATAGCTGCGTGCACCTCTCCTCTTAATTCTTCATTCACTGGTTCATAGTCACCACTTGGAAATTGGGCAAGGAGATCAACTAAGGCTTGGCTTTTGATCGCCTTGGGGGCTACACATCTTGCTACCTTCCCGGTTAGAGCAGGCTTGCTGAGGAGGTATCGGATTGGATCACTTCTAGTAACAATCTGAATCTGATGTGCTAAGAAGTAAGGTCTGAGTTTTTGGGCGGTGAATACCAAAGCTAAACAATGTCTCTCTACTGGAGTATATCGGACTTCTGCTCCTCGAATCTTCCGACTGATGTAATACACCGGGCGTTCTACTCCATCTACATCTTGGACCAATAATGCCCCTATGGACTTGGGGGTTGAAGTTAGGTACAACATTAGAGGCACCCCGGGCTGCGGGGCTATCATGGTCTGAGGCGAGGTCAAGGCCGCCTTGATTCTCTCAAAGGCCTTTTGGTGCTCTTGGTTCCACTCGAACTTGGCATCTCCTTTTAACAAAGAGCCGAAAGGCGCAGAGATCTCTGCCAGTGCTGGGATAAACCTCCGAATATAAGACACCTTCCCGAGGAACTTCTTTAACTCCTTCTGAGAATGCGGGGGAGGCATTACTCTGATAGATTTGACCTTGTCTTGATCTGCCTCGATACCATGTCTGTGTACAAGAAACCCGAGGAACTTTCCAGCCGTCACCCCGAAAGCACATTTGAGAGGATTCATCCTCATTTTGAATTTCTGGCACCTCTTGAATACCTTCTCAAGGTCTCGGAGATGGTCTTCTTCTTTCTTGGATTTCACCACTAGATCATCAACATAATCTTCCACCTCATGATGGATCATGTCATGAAAGATTGCAGTCATAGCCCTTTGGTAAGTTGCACCGGCATTCTTGAGCCCGAAAGGCATGACTGTATAGAAGAAGTTTCCGAGAGGTGTTCTAAAAGCAGTCTTTTCTGCGTCCTCTTCAGCCATCTTAACCTGATTGTATCCACTGAATCCATCCATGAATGAGAACATCGGGTGTCCCGAGGTGGCATCCACGAGGGTGTCGATGTGAGGAAGAGGGAATTCATCCTTCGGGCAAGATTTGTTCAAATCTCGAAAGTCTACACATACTCTGATTTGGCCATTCTTCTTCTCTACTGGCACGATGTTTGCTAACCACGTGATAGAACTTCATGGACAATGCAATAAATGCAAACTGTAAATGTCATAGGTAGACTTCTTTTACGGAATGTTGAAATTTGCCCCTAGAGTTGCAAGATCATTTGGAAAGCTTTCACCAGCTGCTCGGGTTGTGGCCATCATGCACCATCATAGCTATGTCTTTGGATCTTTCTGTACAGACTGATATCCACATCCCCGCAAGACTTTTCATGGATCTGTTGTAGTCGGAAACTTGCTTCTTGTTGGCCAACACACCGGGCTAGGAATCCGGTACCTCCTCGGAAATAAAGTTCACCTTGAATAATT